TGTGCTCTTTCTCTCTCTCTCTCTCTGTAATTAATAATAATTTTTTAATTAATTTAGAGAAGATGATAATTTATTTCTTTATTACTTTTAAGTAATTTTTATTTATGCTTTATTATATTTATAAGCACAATGTCAGAGTGTAAAAAAAACTTTTTTGTTTATTTACAAATATCTTATACATTTATAAAATATATTTTATTTATTTATTATTAATTAATTAATTATTTTTTTAAATAGTTGAAATAAATATTTGATTTTTATTCAGTTTTTTCAATATCCTCAATATTATTTTTTTAATAATAAATAGAATTTTTTAAATACAAAATATATTAAGTAGACTTTATTCAACTTAAGTATCCCATAATTAAAAAATTTAAATTATCGTTTATTTATAAAGATTATTCATTTTATCAAATGTTTAATTTCAGTGAAAATTATCTTGTCAAATCACATTTCGAATTCTGACAAGGTTAAAGCAATCAACCTTTACAACAGAATTTGTTTTAAATGATCAAAAACAAATGAGAAATTAAAATAATAAAAAATAATACTCTTGTATATAAAGAAAAAAATAAACAGGTATCTTATAATCAAATTTATTAAATATGATAAATTTATATTTTAATGTAAACTTTATATTTATATATTTAATTTAATTTATTTTTGCTGAATAATTGAAATAAAAATTCAATTCTTATTCAGTTTTTTTCAATATCCCCAATATTATTCTCTTAATAATAAATAGAATCCTTTAAAAACATAATGAATTAAGTAGACTTTGTTCAGCTTAGATATCCCATTAAAATTTTAAAATTTATATTATTGTTTATTTATAAAAATTATTCATTTTATCAAATGTCTGATTTCAGTGACAATTACTCTGTCGTGTCACATTTCGTAAAATTCTGACAAAGTTAAAGCAATCATCTTTACAACAGGATTTGTTTTAAATAACTAAAAACAAGAAAATTAAAAAATAATAAAAAATAATATTTTTGTACATAAAGAAAAAGACATACAGGTATCTTATAATAAAATATATTAAATACAAGTTCATATTTAGTAAAACTTGCAACCGCACGCGTAGGTGCGAGGCAATACTGTCAGGAGTTCGCACGTCCGGGTCGAGCAGAGACGTTCGCGTCCCGATCGGAGATACAAGTAATTCAGATGTTACAGTAATCATCTCCGCGGATGTAAGCGGGATTTGGGCGCCAGGCCCGCGTGAGCGAACCAAATTTATATAATATCCGAGCTATCTCCGATTCCCGACGCACAACTCCATAGATCGAGGCAACTTAGATTTTCGCGAAAGTCCGGACGGGCGAACAACGACGGCGCGGAAGGCCGGCTAACCAGCTCCGACAATGGTAGAGGGGCGGTTCGTTAGGTTTGAGACTTAGGAGAGCGACAAAAAAAGAAAATAATTGCTCCTGTATTTAATAGTAATTAAGAGAACATGTATTTTCAATGGTCTCGCAGGGCGAGAGAATACAGAGGCGAGTACCTCGCGTGGTACTCGCGGGATGCGCGGGACGGAGCGCGCAAAGAGCCCTGGGGAACGCGTATTCCGGCGCCGATCCTTGGCGGACTAACGCCACGCCAGGATGCCTGTACGAATTACAGACGATCGCGGGAGAGATAAGTGACACGGGTGATCGGCGCGCGAGCGCACGCGGTTCACGCGTTCGCGGCGTGCATGGGCACGTGGCCCGAGATCTACGGCGAATCTCGTTTTTCGCGACACAAGAAAGTTAACGCTCTCGACACAGAATGTAATTCACGGCACGCGGAGACTCTAATAAATCCGACACACACAGAATGGCAAAACGCTCTCGCGACTTACAATTACAAACATGATACAAACACGCGGTGACTCGGCCGGGCGAGGGCGAACGCAAAGCGACCTTCTAAATGACTCTAATCTAACGCGATCGAGCGGGCGGTGCACTCTCTAGTTCGCAGAACAAGTAATACTCGCAACTCTATCGTACACGGCACTCGCGGCCGCTACGCTGAAGAAATCTTTACTCTTGCACGGCCCTCTCGTTTCGCGAAACTTGGCGACTTTACAAAATTAGCGACGTTCGTCTCACCGTAGGCTCTCCAACTCTTAACTCTCGTAGACTTTCGATACTCAGTCCTGGTAGTGGATCCTGCGTCCTTTA